CCGGTCAGCTTTGGCCAGGGCCAAAGTTTGGGATATTTGGGAACTTGGGAGTTTCCAAGGCTGCTGGGACAAGACCTAAGGCCAAGCTGCTTGCCTGGTCTTTCTGTACCATCCGTTGAATTTTTGCAGCATGTGCAAAAAAAATTCACAGCAAACATTTTGAAAAGTGCATCGACTGTCAAACCACAAACCTCCCTGCTGCTGGGTCCCTGCCGTGTTTGGGTTGCTGCTTAATCCCTTGCAAACAGCTTTATTGAGATAGAAATAACAAAGTAATAAAAAAGAGGGTTGTTTCCCTTGAGGCTGCCTTTACTCCAGACTTTGCTGTGAATCCAAGGCAGTCCATCATGCCAGAGTCCTATGTGGAATCTGCCTGACTGGGGGAGGAAAAATAGTACGTGAGCCCTGCCATAATTTTATATTTTGGTATCTTTAATCTCCTGGCTCCTCTGGCAAGAGCTTCACGGATCCACTGCTGTGCCTGTTAACTCCTTGTGTTAACCCAGAGTCTGCACTCCCTGCAGGGAGGCCACAGCGTTTGGGGTTACCTCCTGTTCCTCTTAGCACTCAGGTTTTCACTCTGCCCTGCCACAAAATCCACAAACAGCTGAGGCTGCCTGGCTTCCCTGCAGTGTCTTTTAAGATGGGAAATTCCCAAGCCTGCAACAAGTTCACTTGGTCACGGGCAGATCGTGGATCAGGGAGGGCAGCACCCTTTGGTCACGGGCTGGCTGAAGGCGACTGAGGAACAGCTGCATGCTCAGGCAACGAGGTTTTGTTGTGGGGTTTTTTTCCGAAATAGCTTTCAATTCTTCATATTTTCCTCCTTCTTTGTACCCCGCTTTTCCCTTGGCATGGCTGGGTTCTCCATCCCTGGGGCCTGCCAAATATTGGTGCACGGACAATGAGATGGGGCCGCACTCCAACACATCCCTATCCCACCCTGGGATAAAGAGGGAATTCACTGGTCTCCACTGAGCTGTCTCCAGCCAGGTCTGGATCCTGGGCAGGGGAGGCAGCAGGACATGGTGGCTGTCAGGGTGGGGGACAGCTTGTGCCAGGGAGGCAGGAGCTGAGCACAGGGAGGAGAACGCCTGCGTGGGCTTTGCGCCACATGGCTGGGCTGGAGAAGGCTCTTCCTTCCAGCCACAGCCAGGTGTGGGGAGAGTTTAAGCTCTTTGTATTCCTGAGTACATACAACAAAATAAGCAGTCAAGGGTTTTCCCAGGTCTGTTCTTGCAAACAGATTTTTCACTTCATTTACCCATGAGACAGATTTAGTGTTGCAAACTGTCGATGCTAAAAACCAGGAAGTCTGGTTCTAGAACACAAGGGTTTTCTCCTTGTGCCCCCAGCCTTGCTCTCCCATCTGTGTGCTGCTTTCAGGAGCTGTGCTGTCACAGGGGGATCCATTGCTGCGGCCTCTCTCCCCTGCCTGGAAGGCTGGATGTGTTTCCTCCACCAAAAGACAAACCTCCTGGTGAATGACATACACCAAGACTGGGCCTTTAGGTAAAGTAGCAGTTGGGCAACTAAACCAGACACAGTTGCCAAAACTCAGTTGCGCCTCTGAGATCACCTGTAGCAGTGGGTTCATCAAGCTGCAGGAGAGAGTTTCCAACAGCATGCTGCCAGGATTTATTTCCTGGCTTTATTAAAATTTCTTTCCAGGATTTATTAAAGCCTGGCTTTGTGGGGCGGGTGTAAACCACCTGCTCCAGCCTTGAGAAGTGGCACAGGTCCCTCCTTCCTGTGCTGCATGCTGAGCTGTGCTGAATGTGCACCGGGGCAATCAAGCAGCACCTCAGCAAGCCCCTGGACAAGCCCCTGGACGAGCCCCTGGACAAGTCCCTGGACACAGCAGTGGACAAGCAGCTGCCAGGAACCAGGCAGGGGCTGGCTCCAGGTGCCAGGGCTCGCAGCCTTTCAGCACCAGTTCATTCCAAGCTGTTAAAAGCACAGGCTGCACTTGCAAATGGGGTTCCCTGGGGACCTCCATGGAGCCTGGGACACCAAGCCCTTCCTCCCACTCCCCAGTCCAGGATGATGCTCCCATGTTTCCTTTGCCTTGTACCCCTCTTTGCACCCTTCTTGTCTCAAAGTCCCTGCTGACAGGCCCTCAAACCCAAAGAAGTATCATGCCAAAAATCTTTCTTTTCCCTGAATTATCCTCTGAAAATCAAAGTGGGGATTGTGATTTTGCCTGTGTTTTCATTCTTTGGGGCAGATAGAGCTCACTGTTACTCCTATCTTTGGGGGATCTGAGAAAACAGGTCGTCACCCCAAAATGAACCATGTCCAGCAAGGTGCACACCTGTGAGCATTGAGCTTGTCCTTTAAGGACCTCCTGGATTACTCTTACACACTGCTGTCCCAGGTTCACCACTGCAGCACAAGTCTCTGCTTGGGTCTGTGCTCCTCACAGCTGAGCCATGGACTGAGGGTGCTGTGCATGTGCCATGGGGACGCCAAAATTGAGGCACAGGGCAGCACCTGCCTTTGCTCCCCACAGCATGGCACCCAAATCCAGGTGTGTGGCACCTCCCTTGCAGGAGGAAAGGGAAATGCAGCAGCCTTTCTGACCAAGGGAAACACTGCTGTTGTCTAGACGATGTGACTAAGGAGGGAAGGGAAGGGGCCAACTGTTTGTACAGCTTTGGGAAGTGTAAACAGCACCGACTGTCCCGAGCCCTTCAAAGCAGAGGAATCCGGAGATGGGATGAAAGCACAGGGAAATTCTGGCCGGGTGTCCTAGCAGAGCAGCTGAGGAGAAGGGGACCTCTTCAAGACAAAAATCCCAGCACCTGAGTCATTTCAAACCAGCCCAAGTGAGGAAGGAGGAGCACAGCATGGCTGGCCATGGGTAGGGCTGTGCGTGGGCTCTCAGGACTTTCCCAGCTTTGGTTGCTTCTCTCTGCAATCTCAGAACAAGTGTCCTGAAAAGGAAACTGGAGGCCCTGGAAATCCTGCTGTGCCCTGCAGTGAGCTGGTTTGGCCTCTGCTTTTCATTCAGCTCACAAAAGAAAGAGAAAATGCTGTTCAAGAGGTGATTTCCTTTTTTTTTTTTTTTTTTTTACAACTTTAAATACAGTACTGAGTATAAATTAATCTTACATTTAAAAAAAAGGCAAAAAATTTAAAATAAAATAAAACAAAACCTCACCATATTTACAAACCAAAAGAAACAGATTTTGGAACAGGGTAAGAAAGTGTCTTAAGACTTGAGGGCTTGGGGCTGGAGGGAGGGAGCAACGTGCTGCCTTGGCAGCGGTACAAGAAGTGCTCTGGGCTTGCAGGAGGTGAGGACTGGCTCCCTCCACAACTCGTAACAGCTCCCAGGCTGTGGCTTTGGCTACTTTCCCCATCTCCCTCCAGAGCTTTACCCCACAGCAGGGCTGTGTGCGAGGGGAGAAGAGCCATGTGATTGCTCTGGGCAGGCATTTTCTTCATGTATGCAGCACCCAGCACGGCACAATCCTAGACCCTGACTCCAAGGTGATGCTGGGAATTCCCATCATATGTAACAGTTCTGCTAATGGTTACTGACTATTACCTGTGCAAAACCAGCCCTGGCCCACACAGTCCTGCTCCCTCCTCGAAGACAGGCAGTGGCCCAGGAGGGAGTCTGCAACTGACCCTCCAGCTGTTCTCTGGGTCCTCCTCACTCAGAAGAGCTCATTTCTGTCTCAGATGGCTGCTGCCAGCTGTGAAGACCATCCTCATTTCTTTCTCTATACCTACACAGAGCTGTCCACATCGTGGATCAACTTCCAAGCTAAGTGGGTTGGGAACATTGGCAGGGAAAGATTAGTGGTGGTATAGAGTGCAGGACACCCAGGAAGGGGTTAAAAACCTCATGGGAATGACATGATTCTGCTTTCAAGACCACAGAGCAGGCAAGGACAGCTCACTGAGATTAAGTCATGCTTCTAAGTTTGGCTGTCCTTGGTCTCGTTGTGGTGCCACTTCACCTCCTGCAAGGAAGTTGTGCTGGGGAGGGGGGGTTGGTGCAGAGTCAGAGAAAAGGGTAACAAGAAAGAGAGAGATCAGATGATGCCTCTGCCCCGTCCCGGCCTCGCAGGCACGTTGCAGTAACAGTGTGCTTCTCTGCCAGCCCAGCGAAGCTGATGCACGCACGTGCCTCTGAGCTTCCTGCCACTGGGGAATGAAATCCATTTAAGAACATATATATATATTTTTTTTATATATGTATGTATAAATACACATACACACACACACACATGCACACGTATATATATATATATATATACACACACACACACATATACACACGCACACATCCAGAGTGAATTTAAAAAATAATTTGAGTCCAAGCCTGGAAAGTTGAATTCTCCACCAGCATGTGCAAAGATGGCTCTCCTTGGCAGGGGCCGGGGGCGTGGAGACGATTCTGCCACCTTGTGCTCCTTCCCCACGATCCAAACACCTTCCAGTCAGCACCAGGAGCAGGGGAAAGAGGGAGTGGGGGAATGCATTTGGCTTCTTTGTTTTGTTTCTTTGCTTGTTTGTTCTGTTCCCCGAGATGTTGTATACCTTAGTGGTTTTGGTTTTTCTTTTTAAAAATAAAATATACACACGCACGTTAAAAATATATCTCTGTCCAGGTAGGGCGATGAAAGTCCTTAGTGCATTTTCCATCATTGGTCGCCGCTCGCAATCTGAGATTTGCCTGTTGCCAAAAGGTAGGTCCCATGCAAGAGTAGATCTCAGCTGGGTCCTCCCAGCCTTACCAGAAACATGAGGGAAAGGGAGAATATTCCCCTTCTGGCCTCTGTCCATCTGTTTTTCTCCTTTTCTCGGAAGAAATTGGACCTGCTTTCCTTTTCACATTTTCCATCCTGTCCTCCATAGCAGGGAAGGAATTGTCCTGTTCTCATCGCAAGCTGTGGCTGTTGGCATTCACGCTTTTATTTGTACTTTGTTCTTTTCTCATATATATAGATATGTAGGTCATCCTTGTCCTTTTGTGTGTGTGTGTGTGTTAAACTTTAAAATTAGGCTAATAAATGAAAGGGAGGCTTTGGTGGGAGAAGGTCCACTGATGGAAAGGGAAGCACCAATTGCCGTCTGAATCAGACGTCGAGGCAGATGGACAAAGAGGAAAAGTTATCATTCCAAGGACCCCATGGGGGCTATACAGCAAATATATTAAATAAACCTGGAAGTGAAACAAAACCAGACATAGCATTAGAATATGTAACCTTTTGCCCCCTGCAACTCCCCTCCTATCCCCTTTTCTCCTCTGGAAATATTTGTGCCAAAGAGCTGGATTAGAAGCCTGGGAGGACTTTTGACCTCCTCTATTTTTTTCCCCTGAACAGCTTGAGCCAGAGCTGAGATTTGCATGGGTTTGCATCATTTTTACCCTGGGAACTTTAGGCTGGCCAGGAGAATCCTGGGATAATAAGAGCCCTCTTAGTGGCAAGCGTGGGAATCCCAGTCTCGAGACGCTCGGTGCCCCTTATCCCCAGCTCCTGAAATGTCACACATGGAAGCCTGCTGTCCCCTCTCCCAGGGTGAGGGGAAGTGAATGTGAAGTGGTGGCCCGGGCTTATTCAAGTGGCTGTAGCAGAGCTGGAACTGCTGAGCTGTGGGCCAGGGCTCTCCCTGTTAAGCTGTGTCACAGTTCAGCTCCCACCAGTCTGCACCCTGACTACTCTTTCCCTCTTTTCTGCACCTTTTCCTCTCATGGGGAACCAAGGCTTAGCCTCCTTCACTTGTACCAGTGAAATTCTTCTGATGATGAGGGAATTACTCCTGTTTACACAAGTCATGGAGAGAAGAATCAGACCCCGGCCTGACAAAGTCCAGATCTCTTGCCAGAGATTCCAGTTCTCCTTTCCCCTGGTATGACCTTTCTCATGCACATAGGCTTCCCTATAGGAGAGTGATGAACCAAAATTGTTGCTGCTTTTCAGTCTTTCTGCCAACTCAAGTAAGGAAATATGAAAGGAAAAGGGATCCCTAGAGCAACATTAATTCTCTGTTTTCAATGGAGAACCAATAGAGAAACTAGAACAGGGGTTGCTCCACAGAAGAGATGAATTACCTGGACCCCGAGGGGATTTAGGTGTAGGGAGAAGTCAGGCTTGTTCTCTGCCTGACAGGGAGGCAGGGAAAGGAGAGGGCGGGGCCTGAGAGCAAGGATGGCTGCGGCATGATCATTCCAACTTTGCAAAGAGCCTTAATTCCATAAATAGAATGCACGTGTTGGCACCCAACCTAGTTCTTCCTCCTCCTTCAACCCAGGTTTTGTCCTGCAGCAGCCCCACACTGAACGAGTGGCCAGAGGTGAGGGAAGGGTCCAAGATGCCATGTCCCAGGAGGACATCTCTCCTGAATGGAAAAGCAGCTCGCTGTTACCTGCCTTGTGCTCTGTCTCCCCTGCCAGCACTTCTATGCTATGAGGATTTCTTTCAGCACTTTCTTATCGTTGACATGCTTGTACTTCTTATGTTTCCTCTTCTGTGCCGGCGGCCGGCGCACTCGCCGCCTCTGTGAGACAGCGGCTGTGGTGAACGCCGGGGACAAGCCTGCCAAAACAGAGGGGAGAATGTCTGTACAGCCAGGGGCAGACGGCTCCTGTTGAAATATCCCTCTCCACACACTGTCAACAAAGAGCTCTGCAACAGCAGGACCACAAGGCCTCTTTCTGTTCTTCTGTTCCTTGTCCTCTGTTCTCCGCAATCTCTGCCCTCTCCCTTTTCCCACCATGCCCTTCCCCTCACCTCTCACCTTCCCCTCCTTCTTTTCCCTCCTTTTCAACCCCTTCCTGGCAGGCAGACATCCTGGGAAAAGTCCCTCAGCTGGTATAAACCAGCGAAGGCCCTTGGGATTCACTGGAGCTAGGCAGATTGAAACCAGTGGAGGTCTCTTTCCTCTCTCCCCAGCCCCTCTTCTCACACCTCCCTTCATTCTACTGAAGCCAAGATCCTTACGTCTCTGTTCACGTGGCCCGGGACGGATGTTCCTGGGGGGTGGTCGGAACACGGCTTCACACCGACACTGCACGTGGTCCTCCAAAGGCACAACGACTTTTGTGAATTTTGGCTTCCTCTGGACAAATTCGATCTTGTTCACCTATTTGCAAGAGGAAGGTAAGAAAAAGATTAGTACATCCACGGCTCCCACTCTGTAAAATTAGTCAGTGTCAGCGCACTTTAGTCCTGGCTTTCTTCCTAAAGGGTCAGAAGGCAGCTTACAGAGCCTTGTTCAAACTCAAAACCCAGACTCGAAACTCAGACTCAGGGGTGGTGTGTATGGGAGGTAATTCTGAACATGGCAGCAGAGCAGACCCAGACCAGGCAAGTTTGGATGTCTCTGGTTGGCTCCCCTGATCCTAACTATTGCCAGAGCTTAAGCAGGATGACTGGCTGGTCAGAGAGAGAAACATGGAACATGCAGGACATGCCAGCCTGTTTCTGACAGATGCCAGGCAGAGAGCTGGGGCAACCAGGATAATTCCCACAGGAACCTACAGGAAGGGCAAAAGGAGAAGAACTCAGGTCTGAAGCAAGCTAACGCAGCCTCACCAGCTCTGCTGAGGCCTGTCTGAATTTGTCTCAAGCTCTTTAATAACTCGCAGGGCTGAAGCCCTCAGCTCCTCATAGGAAAGGCGGTGCTCTGGAAATTCCCCCGGACTCTCCACCAGTGCTGACTCAGAGGGAAGACTCATTGCTCCACATCCCACCACAGGGCACAAGCTTTCTAGGGGGTCCTCCCACTCCATCAGCAGCCAGGCCTGACCCCACTCAGCTTATCTAACAGCTCTGCGGTCCCTGAAGTGCTCCACAAGCTATAAATACTCACTCTGCTGTGCATCTGGGATGGAATTCCTCTAAACCCACTGCCCCCAGCAGCATCCCTCAGCCAGTGCCAAAGCAGCCAGGCTGTTTATCTTTCCTTGAAAGCCCACTCCACACGCTTCAGACCACACGCTGCCTGCTAGACAAACACTTCCAGCCAAACAATAGAGAGACCTCTGTCCTCAAAGAAACCATTTCCAGGTCACTTTTTCAGGCTGGCTTTTGACCTCTCACTTGTTTTTTTCCAGAAAAACAACTCCTGCTCCCCCCCATTTTTTCCTCGTTCAGCCTGGCTTTTCTGAGAAAGGAATTTCCTGATGAAAAGGGCTGTGTGTGAATACAATCTCTCCCAGCCAACCTCTGCTGCCTGCCTGGGGGAGTCTCTTATGGCTCAGGCAGGGGATTAGTACGAGATGAATATTATTTTTAAATAAGCTGTCTAGGAGGAAGCTGTGAGGAGATCACTGGTAGCTGTGAGGGGAGGATCAGAGCAAGAGGTTAGCTGTCAGGTGTCTGCTGGCTGATGGAGCAGGTCAGGAGGTAACTGTGCACCGAGAAAGAGAAGCTGTTCCAGCGCACATCTTGGAAAGAAGCTACAGCAGCAGCGGGGGGATGGAGACTGACACTGCAAACCCTTCTCTTTTTGCATCAAAACCTGTCCCCGCCATGAAAGCACCCTGCTTCTTCTGCTCTAACACAGCAGTCAAGGCCGCCTCGAGCCACAGGAAGGGCCGTGGAGTGGAGCTGCAGATGGGGACGGTGCCCTGTAGCTCTGCCTGGTGACAGTCCCCAGCTGCTGGACAGCACCAGCCCTTGCAGCAGCTGGCACGGACATCACCCACGCCAGCGGCTGCCGCACGGCGTGGCCAGCGCGGAGGGGACAGATGGCTGCGTGAGCCCGGCACCTGAGACCCGCCCGTGTTTGGCTTTGGGGCACAGGGATGGCGGTGGGTGGCTGGAGGAGGGAGCAGTGGCGGGCGCGTCCCTCACCTGGACGTGCCGGACGCGGATCTGCGTGGGGCGGCACTGCACGTTGCGGTTGTTGCAGCAGCCGGAGCAGCGCTGCACCTCCACGCAGGGCGGCCACACCACGAAGTTGGCGTTGGTGCTGTCCACCATGTTGCGGGAGATTTCGAAAACCACCTCCCGTGTCTTGCACTCCGCCAGGACTGCTGTCTCTGCTGCTGCCAGAGCATCTACGGTCGGCCAAGAGAGAAAGAGGGGATGAAATGGGCTTTGCAGCTGCCACCAACCCGCCACAGCCACCTCTGGTGCAAGTGAAGGACCCCACACGGTTCTCACGTGCACAAGCACAATTGAATGCTCTTTCTCTTTCTCCCAGCCCTCCAGCTCTCTCCCTGTGCAGAGCCATGCCCTGTGGAGGAAGCCCCAGTACAGTGATGCTTCTCACTGCAGCCCAGACAGCAGATGACACCTTAGAGCAAACAAGCACCGTCGGGATTTAAGGCAGAGCAGCGCACAGAAATCCAGACTCCCTCTCCTGCCCTCCCAGGGTGAAGCACCCAGCTCCCACTCCAGGCCCAGGCCCTCATTTTTATGTCTCCACACATACAGGTGCACCGCAACCTCTACCCCTACATCTGTGTCTCAGACACATATCTGGACCACCCATAGCTGCTCCCCCGTGGCTGCTCCCCAGCAATCACAAGGTGCTAGACCCCCAGCTCACCTAGGCTTCGTCGCTCTCGAGACAGGGCCACAGGGTTTTGATCAGGCTGAGATGCATTCAGGTTCAGGCTCGAGCTGTCCTGCTCTGCAAAAGGGAAGACATGACCCAATAGCACCAGGCAGAGGCAGGAGAAGACAGCAGGCACTTGTGCTCAGATCACCAGGCAAAGTGCAGGGACATGGGATAAGCCTCGGACCCAGGACGTCATGCTAGGTGTAAATCCACAAGCAAGGTCACAGCTGTTCTGGGGCATGGACACTCTTTGCTCAGACTAAGCAGCTCAGAGCAACAAGCCTATCATGAAAGAGGGGACCCAGTCAGGTCTTGGAGAGGAAAACTCCAGCTCAAGAAAGATAAGACTCGTGTCAGGATTTTGTGGTGTTGGAGAGGAGTTGCAGAGGGATCCAGACTGGCCAGCTGAAACCAAGATAACACCAAGGAGCATCAAAGACCAGACAGAATGAGCAAAACATTTGGTATTTAACACTGAGGTGCCTTGCTGGGATGGCTTGGAACTGGGAGAGTTGGGAGGCGAGAGGGCAGGTGAAGGGGGGGATGGGTGGTAGGTGGGCTGCTTGCTTTCTGTCTCCCAGCTCACCTCACCTGCTCTAGGTTAGAGCAGTTTTATGACAGAAGAACAGAAAAATGAAGTTAAAATGACTTTCCCTCTAGACTACTCTAAGGTAAGAGGCAGGATCTGGAGGTGGTTCAGTCGGCGATGGGAGAGGAAGACCGATAGCATTCAGGCCAGCCCTGAGCGGTTCCCTCCCACCCCACTGCTTTTTCCCATAGGAAGTGCTGAATAGAGAAATGCCCATAATCCCCATGGAGCACTCCAACACGCAGCCCCTCCTGAGCTCGGGACAATGGCTGCGCTCGAAGATAGCTCCCACCCAGCCACAGCTCTTTCCTTCTCTAACCTGCTTTAGCAGCTGAAGGAAACTGAATGGACGTCAGCATCAAGGGAGCAATTTTCTTAAAGGGAATTAGGGGCCAGTGGAAGATCTCTGTTTATCAGATGTGTGGTGGAGCAGACTTCCCTTACCTATCGTGTCCCATTCCTCTTCCTCAGCCCTGCCCTAGTGCAGCCCTCTCATAAAGGGAAGCAGGGACTTCGCTCCCTGCTCAGGTCTCAAGCAGTTGCTGACCGATTTGGGGTGAGTGCACAGAGGCTGCATTCAGGAGACAGGAATCATGTGCCTGTCAATGAGCAGTCACCATCTATGTGTGAGGCGGACAGACAGACACCCTTTAAAGTGGCTGGAAAGGTGTGATCAATTCTAGGCACCATTCGTCTCGCCCCCAGGCAAACTCCCAAAATGAGAACTGGTGGATCACACTTTAGAAGGGCCTGTAGTTCTCTTTGGGCTAGAGAAGGTGTCTGGATGACTGGTTTACATGGGCAGCCACTGCTTTGTGGACAACCACAGTTAAGGAGACGACTCCCACCGCTGGGTCTGCAGCAGTGCCCAAGGTCAGGAGAGCACTATCTCAGCCCATCTGCCTCCTGGAGCTGCCTCATTCTGGCTCCTCGTGCAGCCAGCGGAGGGAAGCAGCTGTGACACACTCAGGGTACACAGACAGCACAGGGAATAGCTCCAGCCACTTTGGGATTATTTTGCTCACACACTAATTTGCTAATTCCTCACAGGGCAAGGGAATGTCAATGCTCCTCAGTCAGTACCTGGGAACAGATGAGAGGCACGGGGTGGAACAAAGAAACAGCTTCACAGCACCACTTTTTGTTTCCCTGGCCAGCCTTTCCTATCTGGGACCTGAAGTGAAACCAGTGACTCAAAGCTCTGCAGCATTCTCTCATACCCCTGGGCTTCTGGAGCCAACCAGATAAGCCCATTTTATTTCTTAATCATGAGGCTGGTTAATAGCCACAATAGAGATGTATCTGTTCCTTAGACACTGGGCCATGCCAGATTGGATGCATCTTCTCAGCTGCTCCTTGCCCACCCCTCCATCCTGTGGCATTTCCTAAATGAATGTGGGGGCTGCCTTTGGTGCACAAGTTGAGTTGATGAGAGGAGAGAAATGGGGGCAAAAAAAATAGCAACAACTGTTGACTCAAAACAAATCTGCTGAGAATCATGTCCCTCCCTCTTCTAGGTTGTCCTTCTACACCCTGGATCAGTACTGAAGACATTTGGGGTGGTGGAACCAGCACGGGACAATCCAGCAGGGCTAATTTTGGAAGTTGCCCCATTGTGTGGCTTGTGGACAAGGAGGAGGGAACTGGTGAGGGCAGGGAGCGGCCCTGGCAGTGGTGGGGAGCCTCGTCGCCTCTTTCTAAGACAAACAATAGCTGAACGCAGCTGGTGCCCTCCCCCTCGCTTTCCCCCCCTGCCCCTCCAGGGCCGTTTTGAAAGGCAGCGGGAATGCTTTTGAGACTGCGCCAGTGGTTGGACTGGCATAGGAAACAAAAGCAGGAAATTCTGTTCCCCCGTAGATAGTGTCTCGGCAAGGATTACAAAGCTCAAAACAGACAAAACACGAGAGAGAAGTCGAGCTGGGGGGGCTGGGGGACGACGGGCGGGAGCAGGGTTAGAATAGAAAGGAATTTGCTCTGAAGAGACCGTTTATAAATAAATTCCTGGGCCAGCCCAGCCGCCGTGGCGCGTGCTCCAGTTCCCACACGTGCCGACCCCTCCACGCTTCGCCGCTCCTGCTGCTCCCTGCAGTCAGCCCTGGCCAAGTGACCCCGAGGCCCTGCAGCCCCCGGAGCTCTTATCTACGGGCAGGAGGTGCAGCGACGCTACCCTGGCTTAGCCCCTGCCCCGTAGCTCACCCACGGACACGTGCTCTGCTGCTCTCCTCCAAAGGCCTCTGGGAGCCCGCGGCCTTTTGTGGATGCCAAACCTGGAAACCCACTCAGCCTTTTCCTCCTCTGTCACCCTATTTCCACCTCCCATTTTGCTGCCTCCTAAACTGATTCTTGTCCAATTCAAGCCCTACTGACTGAGCATCTCCCGGGGTGAAGAATATGGATCTCAGTTCCTTGCACTCACCTTGCCCATCTCCTGGCACCATTTTTGGAAGCCAGTGTCCAGACAGTTAGGAGATCTAAAAAAGCATCTAGTTGCCTCTAACTCCCATAAGTTTCAGGGGGACTAAGTCTGTAAACAGCCAGGTTTTGGCTCCTGAATGGTTCCTATATTTATAATGAAGTCTATTGATAGTGTGCCCACTGAAAAACAGACTATCCCCTCCCAGCCCCCCCAAAGACTTAATTAAAAATAGAGGAGTGTTTGGCGAAGAGGAGATTTACCTACGGAGTCTATCCGCAGGGCACGCTGGAGGTCACTGATGGAGCGCACTGAGCTGCCACCCAAAATCTCGTAAATGTCTTCAGGTATGGGGTCCCCCTGCCAGACGACAAAAACAAAAGAAGGGGAGAAACAAGCATTAGAGACACGATCTGCAGGTACTGGCTGTGTCATGGAGCAGGAGCAGGGAATCAAGCACTGGGGGGACATGACAGAATCAGCAAAGCACCAAGACGTGCGTTGTCTTGCGTTGGCTTTGAAACCTTGAGGGCTTTATTCCTCACAAAGACATGAACCTGAAACCTAAGCAAAAGCAAGAGACACCCTCTTGCTGCCTCTTGAAAAGTTGTCAGGACACTAAAAAAGCCCAAAAATCCCCAGGCTGTGCAGCAGAGCCCCGGACACCATGCAAGCAGCCAGCAAGGCTTCCTTCTCCGGTGGTGTATGACTTCTCCAGGTGGCTTCTCATTCCTGCTGCCTGCAGTAAAGGCGTTTTAACAGACTTCCCTTACACTATCAGATAAAACCTTCCTAATATTTCCCTCCGTTATGAAACTCCTTCACGGGCTTTGTCAGTTGTCGTGTGTATGTGCGTGTGCGAGCGCGTGTGTTTCCAAACCACAGAGGCCCAATAATATACATCATTTGCATACTCTTTTTTAAGTAAAAAAAAAAAGGCGGGGGGTGGAGATGAAGATTGACCTTCGCGGCTGAGGCTGCCCCAGCGTGAGCCCGCGGTGAAATCACAAAAGCTGCAGGGAGGTGATGGGCTGAGGAGCTGATTTGGAGGAAGAAACATATGGGAGTTTGGATGTCATTGCACACCAGCACGAAAAAACCTTAAGTAAGCAGGTTTAGCAACATCAGACAATGGGCCAAATACAGAGTTTGTGCAGGCAGGTGCAATGCCATCAGTCTCTCGGGAATTTTCTCTGGCACTAGGCTAGAGCGGGCCCCAGTGACAGCACTTAATAAGAGTACAAAGGAGTGGTGTGGGAAAGCAAGTGCTGATTAAAACATGCTTCCGAAAGACTAGAAAAAGAGACAGAGGAAAGTACTGGCCGAAGTGTTTGCTTAGCTCCCAGCTCTCTTCATTCAGAGCTACTCAAGCGGAAAAGCTGCTCTTTCAGCCGGGTGCTGGACGACGTCTGAGGCACAGCCCTCCACATGTCCCTGTAACTGAGAGGAGAGCTTGGCTTGTGTGCCTGTGAAACAGGGCAGGGATTTTCCTGTGGGTTTTTATGGACAGTTGGTGGCATGTGTGTGGTCCTCCTACTGCAGAGCTATTCCCTCCCTGCCTGCCTTCAGTGCAGAACATTTTCCTTCCGTTCACAGCAGAGAAAAGCCACCAGGCAGGTGGCTAAATGTTGGCTTTAAACCTTGAGGGCTTTGGCCCAAACCTGCAGCCACTCTTGGATGGCTGCTTGAGCCTGGCACTCTCTCACACGTGCCTGTCCTTGGCCACCCACCGTTTGCTTCCATAGCAGGACAACAGGAGTGCTCCCTCCTCAGCCCTGCCAGACCACCCTCTAATACTATAACTTTAACTGGGATGCAGTGATGTGAAGGCTGCTGCAGCCCAAGGAGGTTCAGAAACCTCCGGAAGAGAGCTGCAGAGCAGACAACATCAGAGTCCTAAACCTCCGACAGCCAGATCCACCAGACAGCTTCAGTCAGACCGTGCTTTCCTGCTCCGTTCCATCCCTGTCACTGCCACATCTCACCACAGATCTGGCTGTCCGCCTGCAGCAAAAAGCAGATATTACATCCCCAGGCATTGCTTCCTCAGTCTCTGAGGGAGGGGGAAGCAGCATCAGTGATGAATGCAGAGCGAGAGAGAGACTTGTATAATTCAGGGATCACTGAATAGCTGTGAAATGAAGATGCCTTCTGACATCTCCTGCTGCGTGAGGAAGAAAGGGACCAACAGCCCAGTGCTGGGGAGGCTCTGCAGCACTTCCCTGCCTTGTGCCACACACATTTACTGGAAGAGGGATCATTTGCAATTCCCAGTACTTGCAGTCAGAGCTCAGTGCTGGGTGGTGAAATTGCAGGCTTTCAATGTTTGCACCTGTCAGCCAAACGCGTTTGTGTACAAATGCTGCTCTGCACGGATGCCTCTGGACCTTCCTGACACTTAATACATGTAGGAAATGGAACTTTATTTTAAACTCTGGCACTTGCTGGGGGGAGAGCGTGGGCAGGTGTTACGAGACTCAGACTTGGTGACTTTGGAAGCGATCTGGGAGGTGTCACCTTGCTAACTGAGCAGGAGGAAGAGATATAAATCAGGGATTGAAAATGCAGGCCCTCAGGAGCTGTACTTCTGGTGACTGCCTGTAGCAATAAGCTCCACTCCCTGCTCACGGCAGCAGTTTTAGATGCCAATTTTTTCTTGTTGCAGATACTACCAGCATGGCTATGGTGTAACACCAGCCCACACGGCTCATAATCCTGTCCTCCTCCCCCATCTTTGTAAGGCAACTCTGCCTGTGACAACTGCAAGCCTGTGAAGCTCCTTACCTTACCCTTGTAAACCAAGGCCAAGGCTGGCCTAAGAGCAGCAACAAACCTGAGCTGAATGCCTTGTCCTTGCTCCCTCTGGGGAACAGCCATGCCTCTGGCCCCAGCCCTGTGCCTGGGAGGCTCTGAGATGGAGCACTGCACACACGCAGGCTGGGGCACTTGTGGGATGAGACACAGGGAAGCAGAGGTCCATCAATCACCTCCACCTAGTCCCATGGGGTCAGAAGGTAGAGGGGCATTGAGAGAGGTGGGATCCCCAAGAGACCAGCCCAAGCAGCTGGTGCTTTTCCTGCTCAGCAGCTCCTCTGGAGTTATTTGTCTAACACAGGTTAACAATCTCCTTTTTTAACTGTGCGGCAGATCAAAGAAGACTTTTGTCTCAATGGACTCTTGGCTGGCTGTCAAGTGCCCCAAGGCCTGGCCTCGTATTCCTGCGAGGCCCTGAATTCTTAGAAGAAAGCTTGTTCTTCTCTCCCTCCTTCTGCTCCCCGGTTCCTGACTCTGACTCTCCCCTGAGTCGCACCCCTCAATCTGCCAATCCCTTGCCGGGGACGTTCACTTCCCTTTCTTGTGCTGCTTGCTGGTGCTTGAGGGGCCATGGCACATCTGACAGAAGGCAGCAGAGCAGCTGCTGCCTGCACTGTGGCTGTTGCACTGGGGCCTCTCAGCACATCAGCTTTGCTCCCCTCCTCCCAGATGTCCAGCAGCACTGTTTGGCCACTGCAAATAAATGCAGGTGCAGCAGTTCCCCTGTTCCCGCTCTCCACACATGCACTTTCCCAAAATATGCCTTGTCCTTAGCCCCACCACCTCTTGCTCTGGAGTTTTCCCCCAACTCATGCTTTTGAGCACCAGGGATGCTGAAAGGTCCCCTTGCCATCAGAAGCTGCCGAGCTGGTGCAGGGAATAGGCAGTGTTGTGGTCTGCACGCTCTGGCCAGGGTTTCACAGTCTTGCCTGAAGGTGTGTCTCTTGCTAGGTACAGAGGAGGAGGAGGAGGGAGCAAAGATTGTGCAACCAGCAGGGAAGGAAGACCCTCAGGGCTCAAAGAAGTCAGACAGGGATACTCCCAAGGTTAGGACTCCTCCAGTTCCTTTTTCCAAGCTGGTGTGACTGCACACAGAAGGACAGAATGGTGTCAGCAGCACCAGTTTGTGAAGGGCAGGGAAGCACCCACCTATTTGCTCCTCTGCTCAGGAAAGGAGGACTTTCTGAGCACCTCCACACCGACCATGGCAAGGGATCAGGTGATCAGCCAGGCAAAAACCCCAAACAAACAGCATTTTTTAATTCCCTCTGAAGCTGATGTGTGGACCCTGAGGGGAGACTCCACCGCATTCCCTGGCAGAAGGCAAGACCAGCAGCACCTGCTGCCCGCGCTCCCCCAGCACAGGGCTTCCACCCTTCCAGCACCTCTCCTGGCTACAGGGGGACCCTGACAAGCGCCTGCCAGAGCGCTCTGCAGCAGGTACAACCCTCTCCACGTGAACCTCTTCCACCTGGAGCCGCGGTTTATGTTTCCCCCCCTTAAAATAATCAAACAACGTTTGATCTAGTCCGTGTTCCTAAAATACAGCCAAACCTACCCACCCTTTTTCCATTTCAAGGGGGACTCCACTGCTCCTCCACACTCCCCCCACACCTCCCCTGCAAGGACTGGAGGCATTTCCACTCCCGGGGCTGGTTGTGTACCAGCAGCACTGGAAACAGCGCAGGAGCCCTGTCATTCCCTCCTGCTGCTGCACATCAGCTGACAGTGAGAGGGAGGCAGGGACGACTCGCCTGGCTCCTTCCACAAGCTCACCCCAGACGTGTCATCCATCCCAGCTTCCACTGCTTTGTCCTTGTCACTGCCTCGTGCTAGGAGGACTAGGGAAGAACGCTGGAGCCTTGCAGCAGAAAGAGGCAGTGGGGAGCTGGGTCGAGGCTATAGGCAAGCGCCCAGCCGCACCCCATTCCTTGGGAATTCCAGAAAGTGCTGCCAGTGGGGCTTCACCCCGGCACAACCACGGCTGGCTCAGCCCATCTCTGTAAATGTTGCAAGGCAACTATTACAGCCCGTGGGGCAAATGCAAATAGGTTTAGCATCCTCGCTTCCCAACTGGCAAATACCTTCCCGCTGAGGCTTGCACTCCCTCCGGCTGGAAGAGCTCCAGGGCTCTCCAGCTCCAGATGGGTGTGATCAAAGAGGGAGAGGGACTCAGGAGGCTCCATCTCTTTGCTCAGGGCCTCTGATGATCTGGGGAGCTACTGCTCCTCATGCATTTTCTCCGGCACGGCTGGGGAGGAGCTGCGAGGCCATGCAGAGGATGACTCTGGCTCAGCAGCCTGGTGGGAGCTGTGCTGTCTGTGCCTGGTGCAGAGGGTGCAACACGCTGCCCGCAAAGTAACCGTGAGCACTGGCTGCAGGCTGAAGCATCTACCCAAGCAGAAACCTTCTTGGTGCTCCTGTCATACAGTGACAAATACCACAATTCCTCCCATGAAACCTCGGGCCAGAATTACCAAACTCTAACTCTACTAGGCTGTCACAGAGGTGTGCAGTATTTCAATCTGATTACGGCAACTGAGTAACAGCGACTTGGGATCAGACCCTTCCATCTTCACCCTTCCCCAGTGCCAACCCTATCTGATGTTTTGTGCTGCATGGGAGAAAGAGATCTGAGCCATCCACGGAGGAAATACCATCCTCTGCCCAAAACAAGCATGACCACTGGGTAGCCCACAGCTCTAACTGCTTCCTTTTGCGGCTGGGGCAAGGGCGACACGGGCCCACAGTGAGGTGACGTGATGCTTTGCACCCAGCCTCTTCTTTGCCATCTCATGAGGGGTGCACCCACTTATCCTGCCCAAAAATGAGGAAGGAAAAGAGAAAAATGATGCAAAGAAGGGAAAGTTTTGGTGGAAGGATATTTCCTGCCCCTGACAATCAAGCTGCAGATCCAACCCACAGTTTTGCCATCTTGGGCAGAGCTGAAGTGGGAACCCAGCACTGTGTGGGAATGTTAGGGGCTTTCTGCTCCCCTTAATCTGCATGCAATCAGATGATGAACTGCGACAGCAGAGGTCAAAGGATTTGGGGGTTTGGGGCTCCTTTTCCTCAACCAGGGCTGGGAGGAGGCTTCAATTTCCACGCAGGGAAACCGAAGTGGGTTGGGGCATTTGTTCAAATCCACCACCCAGCCCTTACCCTCTGCTCAGCTTCTTCCTAAGCAGCACGTTCAGGACTGCTGGGCACGATGTTTGCATGACTGTGGAAGCCCAGCAGACACTCACCTCCTGCCCCTTCCCCTAGCCGGGCACACACCTTGCTGAATAACCATGCCACTCGGTGTGCCTCTACTGGCACCGTTCCCTTCCTCCCGCTTTCCAAAGCCCCACGCCCTTTCTCCACTGCCCCCTGGCAGTGCCAGGGTGGATTTCACACCGTGCGTTATTCCAGAGGTGTCAAGAGGGCCCCGGTCCCTGCTGCACCCGCACTGCCGTGATGCCAAAATCACGGGGTGAGGTGAGAAGCTCGAGGGAGCTGGCACCCGCCCCGGGGTGACAGCCCTGGGCGAGGCAGGGCAGGAAGCTGCGGGTTCCCCGGGGCTCGCCAGCAGCATCCCTGCGCCCACATTAACCGGGGCCGCTCCAGCCTGGTCTCCCCTGCCCCTGCGGCCGGGGACAGACACGGGGGTGGGTGTATTCCCAGGCGAGCCCCCCTCGGCGGGCCCGTCCCGACGGGAGCGCCCACTCCAGAGGGGTGCTCACTCCAGAGAGGTGCTCGCTCCAGAGGGGTGCCCGCTCCAGAGGGGTGTTCACTCCAGGGGGGTGCTCACTCCAGAGGGGTGCCCGCTCCGGAGGGGTGCCCGCTCTGCGCCCGCCGCACCTGCGGGCCGGAGCGGCCGGCGGCTCTCGCCCAGCGCGGGGCTGGCAGCTCGGCAGCACCGCCCGCTGCCCGCGGCGGAAACTCACCTCCATGCGGGCCAGGGGCAGCGAGAGGATGAACGCGAAGACCACGCCGAAATTCATCCCGACTCCAGGCCCCGCCGGCTGCGGGCACATGGACGGCGAGCCCCGGGAGGGAAGCGCTTCCCGCAGAGAGCCCCGCGGCCGCCCGGCCTCAGGCATCGAGGGCGCTGCGCGTTCCCATGTCCCCTGCCAGCCGGGAGGAGGTGGGAGAGTCGCAGGAGCCCTTGGAAGAGGACGTGGAGGAGGTGGTGGTGGTGGTGAGGGGAGACAGAAGTAATTCTCGGTGACTCGCCTGCCTCTGCGCTATCTCATAAGCCCGGTGGGAAAAAAATGCAGTCCCTCGGAATTATACACATCCAGAGTCTGGGTCTCCCTTGCCGCAAGGGATGCTTCAGTGGTGCCTTTGGCTAGGTGGTCCACATGCTATTCTTCCTCTTGGTTTTCTTCCCTTTAAAAAAATTGTGTATCTGTAAAAGCTCTTACATGCAGGTAACAATGTCTCAATGTTCTTAAAAGAAAGTGCACAGAATAGTAACTAAAAGGAAAAAAAAAACTTTTCCAAAGTTTGGTGTGCAATCCAAATAATGAAATCTTCTTCCTTAAGTTGTCCTCTTCTTAAAATGCTCCTTTCCTTCCTTTTTGCCGCTTGCTTTTTAGAGAAAAGTTGCCAGTGTGCACTGAATTTCTTCCCCTTACATTAGATTCTGGCTCGGGTGCCTTCTCCTTCCAAGTGCTGGCAGTTTGCTCGGACGGGAGGTTTGCTTTGGGTTTGGAGACAGGTGAGAGCAAATGTTTTTGCTCTGGGTTGTGAGTGTGTGTTTGTGTGCGTGCGCTGAGCCTTGACAAGCCTCAAAGTGGAGCCACTGATGCTGCCTCCCGCACTCTGTTGCAACAAGAAAGGAAAAACAAAAAAAAAAAACAAAAAAAAAAAAAAAAAAAAAAAAAAAAAAAAAAAAGGCAGAAAAGGTAAAATTGCAGGAGAGGCGAGTGAGCCGACAGGTCTTTATTTTCTGCGAGCTGCAAGAGAGACTAAGCTGGCACTCGGGGCTGCGCCTTTTATGAAGGAGAGGAGATGGGTGGAGCATAACTTGCCATCCTCCTCTTTGGCTGGGTATCAAGGAACAAATCTAGTGAGGGAGTAGCAGCTCATTGCTGACAAAATAAAAAGTGTGTTAATTTAAATGATAAATTAATTAAAAATGACTAATGCTGCAGCAACCTGTATAATGTGGCTTTAATATCGCGTGAGGAATGGGGACAGAAATTCCTGCCTCCTCGGCAGGAGATAAGAAGAGAGGAGTTCCCGGCACGGTAGTTTGTTATTTTTTTTGGCCCCAGTTTCTCGCTGTTTCAGTCTGGAGCCCATTCCTCTAAGCTGCACTCGCTGCCTTCCCTGCCCTGCTACACCACTAGCTCCAGGAAGAGAGATGACTTTAATATCTCACATCTCTTTGTGTGCAGGGGAAAAAAAGAAGCCAGAGAAATTTACACGTCGCTATAAGACAAGCTGGTGTTGCTCGTGGCACCCGGAGGTATTTTGCTGCATGATTATCTCCACGATGTAATAAACATCTGAAGGGAAATTAAGCCAGCAGATATTTGCTGTGGGGGGACAGGGATGGGGAGGGGAAGGCTGCTAACAGGTGAGTTCAAGAAAGAGTCATATCCTATTGAAAAAAACACCCTCTCCCAGTGATCTCCCGGCGCCGGCTCGCACGCTCGCAAAGCGCACTCCAGGCACGACCAGGAGGGATCTCTGCACCATCTTTGTGCAGGCTCGCATCCACCGAGACATTCCTGCACCGTCATGCACCGCAGGCGCTCGCTCGCTCGGCAGGCGCTCGCTCTGAATCCCAAGCATCTCCCCTGCTTTTCCTATGCTACGCACACGCTTCTGCTCGAGCCGCTCGCATGCACAGCTACGTGCAAATTTTGTCTCATTCACACATCCCTGGGCATCCATGTGTTCTCCTTCAGTCTCCCCCTCTCTCTCCCCTTCTCACATACATACACCCACTGGCGTACCGGTGGCCTCATCTCACAGCATCACACATGCTCCCTTAGACTCCCTGGGTGCCTGTAAGTCTCCTGCAGCCAAGCCTCCCTAAAACACACGGTCTCGCACCAGCACTCCCATATGCACCCTCCAAAGTGCCCGGGTGCAGGAGGAGCAGCCACTGGAACTGAGCAGCAGGCAGCCCCCCAAATGCTCCTCTGCAGCAGGCACCTGACAGCACATCCCAGCTTGGCTAGCTATGCCCCTGAACCTGGTTTTGGTCTCATGGATTTGGGTGTTGGTCAGGAAGCACAGGGATGCAAGGAATACTGGGGGTCCTCCATACAGCTAGCTTAAAATAGGCTGGGTGCTCTGGGGCAGCACGTCAAGGTGCTCTTGGGTCACAAGGGATCACCTTCACTCACCCTAACCCAGCAGAAGAGTGGGCAGATTTCTCCCCAGGTGAGGAGTTGGTCAGAGCTGTGTCATCTCCAGAGCCTGGGCCATCTGAGGTGCATGAGTGCAGGGATAAGGAGGGTCCTGGGACTCCCTCAAACCGAGTCTCAAGTGGCTCAGTTCCAATATTGGAGCTCAAGGGGGGAGGAAGTAGAAATGCAAGGCATACCTTTGCTGAGTTCCACCGCCAGAGACCTTAACAAGACTTTATCTTAGATGCTCCAGCCATGATAGCCCTGTCCCACCCCAAATTCCTCAGGACACTCTTAGAATTCCCCTCATTCTCCATCCTGGCCCGCCAGCAGGTACCAGCTATTTCAAGTGATGGTAATGGAGCTGCAACCCTGGGTGCTGAAACACCTTTAGAAATCTGTAGAGGGCTTCAAACAAATGGTTTTAAAAGGGCCTCAGTCCATTTCACCTCTTTCCAAACAGCACCAGCCAAAGAAACGCTGTAGCCTTGGGCTCCTTAGCAGTCAGCAAGGGGAAAGGTGAGCATTTGAGAAGTCCTTCTATCTCTGTAGAGGGCTCTGGGGACAGCTGGGTCCTGAATTTTCATGACCTCGTTACGTATTTAAGGTTCCCAAGGGGTCAGTGGAGGCCCAGGTGCCTTTTGAGGATCTCTGCCCCCAAATAAGCTGGCGTGGCTCCACCACCTTCATGCCACCTGTGTGGGGAGTCCCCCACGCTGTAGTGGCTTCCTGGCCAGGACAGAACAGCCTGCGTGTGGGAGGGCTGATCAAATTCCTCAGCAGAGAGAGATATTGCTGCCAGAGAGGAGAAGGTCTCAGCAGAAAGCTAGCAGGGACTGCTGCAAATTTCTCACTTGGTAGCAACAAGAGCTGCTGCAGGGCCTGATTTTGGGGGAGATATGGGTGGTGTGCTTTTTTTTTTTTTTTTTTTTTTTTTTTTTTTTTTTTTAATATCCGGCTCTATTACATGCTAGATGGGATAGAAATAGAGTTATTTATTTTCATGTGGATGATGCTGGGCAGTTTTTAGAAGCTCGACATCAGAAACAAAAAGCTAATCCCTGTTGAACCTCCAGACAGCAAGGAAGAGGATGTTTGGAATTTGACTAATCATCTACCTATGACCCTGCCTGGAAATAGAGCAAAATGATACTCAAGCTGCTCAGGCTTCAGCAGTTTTTCTGTTTTTCAGATAGGGACAGATTTTTCTCTAGTGATGTCTTTAGGCTGGCTGGGTCAGTCTCACTGGCACTGAGCTTGATGGGGTGCATGCACCTACAACTGCTGTGCCTTGAGCCTGCTGTGGGGGCTCCCTTGATTCTCTTACTGCTGTGAAAATAGTTTGGCATCTGTCCCACAAACCCCTAAAACTAATGGGGATAACTGGATCTCCCTCTCACCTGGCCTGTGGGGCTACTGGTGTCCCAGATGTCACCAGGGCATATATTGGGGAGGTATTCTGAGGCTACCTGAAGCATCTGGACCATAAAAATGTCCCATTAGAGCACCATGACTTGACAAGATCTGGTTGCAACTGTGCTAGCTGGCAATGGCCCCGTAGACAAACCACAACAAAACAAGGTTTCCTAAGAGCCTGCACCAGGATTTCTTATTAAAACACTTTCACCACCGCTACAGCTCTCAAACCTGCAAACAGCTGAACTCACCTCCCTGGTTATTCTCTTATCACTAGGGAGGAGAGCAACACGTGTCTGAGGACAATAGGCAGTTCCTTGCTGCAAGGCTGCTCTCCCCTCATCTCGTGTTGACGGAAAAAATGATCGGACTAGCCACCATCCACAGCAGCGTGAAGTGAGGGGTGACTTTTTTTTTTTTTTTAATTTATTACCCTTTTTTTCAGAGGGGGTAGGTAGAGAATTATGAAACAACAGGAAGAAAAACAGGGCTTACAATGGAAAGCAAGACTCAGTCTGAACAGCTGAGGTGTCTCAGCCTCTCCATGATGAGTCCTATTTTGAAAACAATCAATGGAAAGAAATTAGGAGGTGTTGACAGCCAACGTGTAGTCAGCCCGCCCACTCAAGGTATCTAAGCTAGGTGTTGCTGCTGCTCCGGTCTCGGAGTTCAGGAGCAGGATGAGCAATCCCTGCGCCTACGCCGTGGGGCTGCCGCAGCCGTCAATGGCAGGGGGACAAACGAGGCACCCGGAGCAGGTTCTACACCTCCTTTACACCCGGAGATCCCTTCTGTGGGCCAGCTGGTTTTACACCGCAGCCCCCGGCTGAGTGGGGCTTATCCCGACTATCCCAGGGGATAGGGCAGGGTTCTTGCAGGTGGCTCACGCTGTGTTCCACAGCCTTTGCCCCAGAGGTGCTGACATGCGAGCTGCCCGACTTCCTAAGGACTGAGTCCGGTTTGATGGAGGAGGGAGACCAAAGGAAGGAGACGGAGACAAGCAAGGAGCTCGGTGTTCGTATTTGAGGCTGGAGAAAGGCAGAGCCTCAGGGTACACAGGGCTTGCATAATTTGCCTTCCCGCCCCTGGCACTGGCAGGGAAAATGCTTTCCAAGGATGAGTAAAACCCTGACAGAGCCAGCGGCTCCAGGGGAAAGGGAAGGTGTCACCTGGGGAGCAGGCGTTTGATGGGACCTGCCAGGCTTTCCCTGGGAACCACCCCCTCTGCCTGTCTCTCTCGTCAGAGGGATTCCCCCAGCCCCTCACCACCGCCCTCATCTCACCCGTTCCTGGCAGGAGCCTGGCAGAGAGGAGAGGACGGGGAAGGGGGACGGGGACAAGCACGCAGACACATGCAGAGGGCAGAGCCCAGCCCCTGACAGCGGCAGAGGGAGAGGGCTCGTGTCGGCTGTGCCTTCCTGCCCCGTGCTTTGAGATGATGAGAAGGCAAAGGCATTTCACATCTCTGCGGATGTGCAGCTCGAGCAGGATTCAAAGAGAAAAGGCAAGGCTGGGGGGCACTGATTTCCCAGCACTTTCCCGTGTGCACACATGCTCCTGCATCAAGTGGGGAGGAGGGGATGCAGCCTTCTCTGATCATACTGCCATATATTTCTCCCCCACCCCAACCCCCAAGTTTAGGGTAGAAGGGAACAATTTCCTTACACTGGCAACCATCCATTATGTCTATGGATCTGCTCCCCACCCCATTCCCCCTCTCTTTCCTGTTTTGATGAAAGGAAAAAATGTTCTTCTTTCCTTCTTTATTTTTCCAGACTGGTGAATAGCACTCGAAAGGAATTTCTCTCCCTCCCCCCTTCCCCTCTCCCAGTATAATAAATATATACGTATGTGTGTGAATACACCACACATCGCAGGTCATCTGTTGTTTTTCAACAGGCATATACTATTTTTGTTTCCAAATTGATTAGGTGGGCAGCGGTCCCCTTTCCACTGACACCACCCCAAACACTGCTTCCCCTGCCCTCGCCCTCTGCCACTCACCACGTCCCCATCCTTTGCCCCCGGCTCCGCAGCGAGCGGCGGTGGCGGCGGCAGCAGCGAGAAGGAAGCTTTGCTGAGCTGGAGTAAAAATAGCCCCAGCAGTTACTCAGCTCAGAACGTAACATGACTCATGTGAAACGAAGATGAGGGTCGAAAACCAAAAGCAAGCGGCTCTCCCCCCCCCGGCCCCCGCCACCTGCTGTTGCTGCTCACGTCACAGAGCAAAACCCACTGCAAGTGCTCCTCGCTGGGGGCCAGGGCATCAGCCAAGACGGAAAGCCCCGCTTGTGCTACCTGCAGGGACTGCTCCTCTTGCCTGCACCCATCTGGTGGTACTGACACCAGCAGCAGGCGGGTTTGGTGATGCTGCAGCCGACTTTCAGCTCGTTTAACCTCCCTTAAGCTGCGGACCCTGAGCAAAACTGAGAGCCCTGAGCAAAACTGACATCCCGCTGACCCAGCGGGACCAAGCACTCCGCAGCAGCACCCCTGTACCAGCAGCACAACAGCACAAGTGCAGCCAGGCACCCCGGTTTGCTGCGCCTGCCGTGGCCTGAGCCTGGAGGGACCAGCGAGGTCGTGCCCACCCTGCACCCCGCTGCTGTCACGGGCAGGGTCCCCCCGTGCCGTGTGGGGGACCACTCGCTGCCGGGGCGGCGGGAGAGCAGCGCGCCTGGCCTGGCAGGAGGCAGGGCGCCGCTATCTCCTGGCCTGTGTAATAAAGGAGGGAGTTTAAAAATAGACTTTGAGCTGCAATGCCGGAAAGGCAGCGAGACGTATAGAGCGGGCGTGTGTTTATCCTGCACGCCCTGTGCCCGACGCCCCGCTGCCGCGGCACCTGCCCCAGAGCAGGGGCACCGCTCGCTGTGCCCGCCTGGCCTGAGGGTGCTGGGCTCGGGACAGCCCTGAGCTCTGCCCACGGCTGCCAGAGCTGCTCACAGGTGCCCACCCACCACCCCACGCCAAAGCCGTTTGGAAATGTGGGACATGCACCTCTCCCCCGTGGCAGAGCAGCACGATGTGTGGCTCCTCCACCCCCGTATATCCAGACAAAGTGGCATCTCTCAGGACAAAGCCTTTCAATAGATCCCCTGCCCTCTGCCCTCTCCTGAACAATGAGAAATCAAGGAATATTGTCCGAGCTGAATAAAAAGATCTAAATTTAGAGTGTCTGATGTGTTCTTGGTTTCCTGCCATAACTCCCCTCCTCCCCGTCCTCCCTCTTCATTGCTTGCTTAGCCTTATGCACAGAAAGGTTTCTGATGGGGTGAGATCACCACCAAGACCCTGTCTCCCCAGTGATGAGACAGAGGGGAATTCCAAGTTTGACTCTAGTCTCTGTTTTTGTAAGACAGGGAGGAGGGGAGCGCACTGGTTTTTTCCTCACCAGCTTAGATGTGCAGAAAAGGGAGGGAAACCTAAGATCAGGAGAGAGGAAACTTTCTCTCCCACCTCAGCCTCCTCATGTCATGGCCCTGACCTGCCCCGAGCACTGTCCATATGTTTCCATCTGCTCATGGCATCCTCTCCCACGGCTCTGCCATGGCAATCCTCGCAGCCCCTGTGCTGTTCCAGCCCAAAAGCTCAAGCATGTAGGACCCTCACTGTCCTCCCACTTTCTCCAAGTGGGCCTGGCCAGAAGCAAGAAGCTCAGAAAGAACAAATAAAAGCAGAAAAAAGCCTGAGACAACCCCCACAAATGCCCAGAGGGGAGGGAGAGGAGGGGTGTTATCCAGCAATGTACTCCCGATGTTTAAACAAGGGACTCCCCTGGGTTCCTGCCTGATAAGTCTGGGGGTCAGGGGAATCTATTCATTTGTTTTCTTTTTTAAACAAAAAGGCCTTCCCACAACCACAGCGAGGAGGGAGCCAACACCTCTTGACAAACAGTCATGTCTTAAGTGCACACATGGGAATCCTTTCAGCCTTGCTCCTGGAGAGGAAAAAAGCCTAGGCTGCGTACTGACCACATTGCTCGGTGTCAGTGGAAAGGGAAGCATGGGCCAGCTGCATTTTCTGCACAAAGATGGACAACTGAAGCTTGCCAGCATGTCTGTGGGGTGTCTGGAGGTCCAGAGATCTTTTCCAACAGTGGAATCCAGGCAGGTGGGCCGGGACACTGACTCAAAAGCAAGGAAAACTTTTCTCACCCTCCTCTGGCTGCAAACAGTGTCTCCCAAGAGCTTCCTCTGACCCTCCCCAGCTTGGTCACTGAGTTGACAAGCAGGTGGAACGGGACTTTGAGGCCAGCCAGGCCCTCCCTGCTTTGCTCTCTTTCCCTGGCAGCATAATGTGTCTGGGAGGATTATGAGTCTTTTTTATTACTGTTATTGCTAATTTCCCTTTTGCCAAGCATTCAGGGACGGGGTCTTCGGAATGACAGCACACGGAGTGTGCCAGAGCGACTGCTGGGACAGGAGAGGGGAAAGAGAAGGAGCAGCACTTGGTGCTCACAGGGAAGGGGAGAGCAGCCACGGCCCAGCCAGCGCAGTGTGAGCTGCAGAGAAGCCAAGCAGGGCAGAGAGAAATGCTCCCCTTGCTTCCCTCTCAGAAAGAGTGAGCAGCACAGGGGGCTCAGGATGTGAGAGGGAGAGCTGGGACCCCTTTGCTGCTGGAGACTGAGTTTAGTGCCCATTCCCAGCTCGGAGGGATTGGCAGTGCTGGAGGCTGGGGAATGGAAAAGTTCAGGTCTCCAGTTCCATGTGCAGCTGCTGCCAGAAAGCATCAGACTAATGGATGCAGCAGGGTGGGAAGGGAAAATCCAGCATCAAGGCCCCTGAGAGGAGGCTTCCTACCATGGTCTGGCTTGTCACCAGCAAGAAGAGGGCTGTTCCACAAGAGGGGACATTCCAGGTGTGACCCCTGCTCCAGGTATAGTTCAACATCTAAGCAGAGAGAGATGAGGCTGGAGATGAGCACACACAGCAGGTGTTGAGTCTGTCTGGGAAAACTGGTCAGGAAGCCAGGACAGCCAGGGACAGGAACAGGCATGGATGTGCCTCCAACACAGCTGGGCTAAATGGAGCGTAACATCAAGGTGTGCTCTCACACCTCGTGGAGGTCTGGGCTCCGTGGATGGCTCCTTGGGAAATGTTGGATAACACACAGCAGGGTCATGGAACTGGGCGAGGATGGTGGCACAGGACCAGTTTAAGGTCACAGGGCAAGGACAGGGAACTTGGAGCCAGGTGGGGATCATAACTTGGAAGCAGTGCAGGCACATGAATGTGCTTCAGAGACCCAGAGATGAAAAAAGGCTCCCAGAGGCAGGCAGACATGGGGAGGGGTGCCAAGGCTCCATTGTGGAGAGCCAGGGAGTGGGAGGGGACGTGGGAAAACCAGTGTTGAGAAGCCATAGGGACAGAAAAAGAGGTGCAGTAGTACCCTGAGGTCACTGGGGAAGCAGTGGGGTGCAAGGTCCATGGCCTTCCCCCAAAAGGAGGTGTGGGTCCAGTCACACCTAGCCCAGGAGCAGGATCCAGCACAGCCTGGGACTGAGGAGAGCTCAGCACAACCCCAGCCTGGTCCCACAGGTGTCAGCACCACCAAGGTGACAACAGGCACAAATTCCAGTCCCAGACTTAGACAAGTGAAGATACTGTCAGGAGCAGCAGGAGACAGGGCTGCAGACAGGGCTGCAGGCAGGTCCAAGGGGCATCCTGGACACCAAGCTACCAGCAGCTAAAGACTGGAGTCCACTTGGAACAACCAGTCAGGAAAGCAGGACAGCTGAGGACGAGGCTGGGCACAGATACACCTACAGCAGAGCTCAGGCCAGGAGCAGGTACCTGGACCTGAGCTGAAATGGAGCATACATGGGGTGAGGGTGCCAGGTGAGCCTGCCTGTGCTCATGGCACTGCCAAGCATGAGCCGTCCTCACGGCAGGATATTTCCAGCCTCATTAGGGTGTGGGACCTGTAAATCTGTCCCTGGTGAGGCTCACCATCTGGGCAGGATGTTGATTACCTAAACCAGCCAGAGGGAAAAGAGGTTCAAAAGCCAAGACACACCTGAGCAACACGTAGTCATGCTGAACTATCCTTGCCTGGCCTCATCCTTCTTTCCCTCACTCTCCCTTACTCTCTGGAATGACAACGCAAGATACTGCCTCCATCTCTGAAACCTATGCCAAGAAACTTTTATTCTTAAATTCACAAACAATGACCTAGCAGCTGGTCCAAGGCTTTTTTTTTCCCCTTGCTCACAGAGTGGAAATTATATATATATTTAATTAGCTCATCGGAGCTAAATTTCCCTTCCCACCATTCTTCATTAAAGGCAGATGTAAAATGACCCCCGACTCCAATCTCTATTGAAGGGGGTGTGACCCCTCGCCATCTAACAGAACTTTCCAGAAAGCCAGTTTCTCCCATCCTGCCTCTTTGCTTTGTCCAATTGTTGGTAGAGGGAGCCAAGAGTTTAAAATGCCATTTTGGCTGCCTCTCCATTATCTTGGGCAGACAGAGGGTTGAGATACCTCAGAGAATGGAAAAATCCCGATAAAGGGCTGTGGTACAGATATACCCTCACGTCTCACCAGCCCTTGGACCCAGCTGGGATCCAAAGATGCTTTCTTGCTGTTAAAAAAAAAAAAAAAAAAAAAACAACAAAAAAAAAACCAAAAAAAACCCCCCAAAAAAAAACAAAAACAACAACAACAAAAAACAAACAAAAACCTATTTTTTTTTAAATACCAGCCATCTCAAGTTCTGGCTGGACTTGAAGTAAAGCCCAGCCCGCAGGTCTTTAGCTTCTGCACCCAAATATTAGCCCTTCCCCACGCACTCACTGGCCATTTGCCATTCCAGGCAACTCTCCTGACTTCAGGAGAGGGGGCTGCCTGCCACCTTCAGGCACACCACGCTGCCACCAGTGCCACCAGGGCCAGCAGAGGACCGTGGTCACTGCACAAGGGCTGTCCAACACAGGTGCATGCATTCAACCACCTAAGGCACGGCAAGGGGACTCAGTATTCTCTTCACACCTCTGAAAAGTGTGTTGAAACCTGTAAAACCCTGTGTTTTCTTCGTGTTCCTCCTGAAGATATT